GAGGCTCAAAGCCATGTGGCATGGTTGGGCATTGTTGCTTCGAAACATTGCATCTTTAAGAAGGAAGGAATCTTATCACCTTTAAAACACTATATTGTAATACGTTACTGTCCTGTGTGACTTAGCAATCAGCAAAACCCGTGAAGGTCCGTATTAAAATATTGATCTTCAGTAACCCATGCTTGTCGGAAGAGGCAACTAACGGGATCAGGCGGTCAGGCTCTCTGGTTTGGTTGACACATGTCATCGGTTCCCAATTGCGCAGATCGATGCTCATACTGTTGATCACTGGATTGTCTGGTCCAGACTCGATTATTTACAGACCGACGCCATATAGCTGGAATATTGCTGAGTGCGGCGTAAAACTAAACTCACTCACTCACTCACCAATCAGCAAAACTGTTCCAAAGCCGTCACTGTATGACAGAGGTATTGCCGAGGTAAAACTTACTCGCCCGCTCCATCCCTCACTCACTCACTTACTCACTCACCGCCTCCGTGGTGTAGAGGTTAGAGCGTCCGCACGGAGGGCGGAAGGTCGCGGGTTCGATCCCCGGCCGCGTCATACCAAAAGACGTTAAAATGTGGTACTTGTTGGTCCCTGCCTGGCGCTCGGCATTAATGGGTACAGCAAGGACTGGTCAGCTCGGAGTCAGTATAATGTGTCTGAGGGTATTCATGCTTAACTGCGGCGTGGTATCTCAGTGAGCTAGCACTATAACACCAGCTTAAGTCTGGGCTAGTACAAGCAGCCACACATACACACGCATGCACGTCGTCATATGAGTGAAATATTCTTAAGTACGACGTCTCACCTCACCTCCTCACCTCACCTCACCCCCACCCCACTCTTGTCACCTCAAGAAACGTTTCCAGTACTCAATGTGTACATATATGTTGTGGAGTCTTGTAACGCTGGTGTAGAGGACTGCACACAACAGGACAACAAGGCCGTACATCTTCAACTGACAGCTTGTCAAAGAATGTGTTGTGGTGACAAAGGCTCAGTCATGAGAATCCGCGGGCGTTATTTTCGGACGCAAGGTCATAAATATTTATGAAAACGATCTTTATTCACCTCATCAGTAACGCCACTAGTCGTTAATGAATACTCAAGCAGCCATGTCCTGGTGGAATCCTAAAGTTTCTCAAGTCAATCGAAGACTACAAGAGAGTTCAAAGTCAAAGGCGGAAACTTTGTGTTTGTAGAACTTCCATCAGTCCTTTAGAACTACGACTGACAGAGAGTAACATTGACTGAAGTCACGGCATCTCGTCTGGCGTCTGGCGTCAGTGGTTCAAAACATGTCCTCCAAATAAATGAGTGAGTGAGTTTAGTTTTACGCCGCTTTTAGCAGTATTCCAGCAATATCACGGCGGGGGACACCAGGAATGGGCTTCACACTTTGTATGCATGTGGGGAATCGAACCCGGGTCTTCGGCGTGAAGGCTTTAACCACATGCTGCCCCCAAATAAACCACCAGTGAAGCAGCTTTGCTTGTTCCATCTAGATGCTACCCCCGTCATACACATATGTTTACCCCACTGGTGGCACCGGTCATACACATGTGTTTACCCCACCGGTGGCACCCGTCATAAACATATGTTTACCCCACCGGTGGCACCCGTCATAAACATGTGTTTACCCCACCGATGGCACTGTCATAAACATGTGTTTACCCCACCGGTGGCACCGTCATAAACATGTGTTTACCCCACCGGTGGCACCGTAATAAACATATGTTTACCCCACCGGTGGCACCGTCATGAACATGTGTTTACCCCACCGGTGGCACCGGTCACAAACATATGTTTCCCCACCGGTGGCACCGTCAGAAACATGTGTTTACCCCACCGGTGGCACCCATCATAAACATGTGTTTACCCCACCGATGGCACTGTCATAAACATGTGTTTCCCCCGGTGGCAAATCAAGAGCAATATGTTTACCCCGTTTACCCCACCGGTGGCACCCGTCATAAACATGTGTTTACCCCACCGGTGGCCCCGGTCGTCATAAACATGTGTTTACCCACCGGTGGCACCGTCATAAACATATGTTTACCCCACCGGTGGCCTGTCGTAGAAACATGTGTTTACCGGCATCACCGGTGGCGACCTCCCCCATCATAAACATATGTTTACCCCACCGGTGGCACTCCATCATAAACATGTGTTTACCCCACCGGTGGCACCCCCACCGGTCATAAACATATGTTTACCCCACCGGTGGCACCCGTCATAAACATGTGTTTACCCCACCGGTGGCACCCGTCATAAACATATGTTTACCCCACCGGTGGCACCCATCATAAACATATGTTTACCCCACCGGTGGCATCTGTCATAAACATATGTTTACCCCACCGGTGGCAACCGTCATAAACATGTGTTTACCCCACCGGTGGCATCCGTCATAAACATGCGTTTACCCCACCGGTGGCACCCGTCATAAACATGTGTTTACCCCACCGGTGGCACCCGTCATAAACATATGTTTACCCCACCGGTGGCAACCATCATAAACATATGTTTACCCCACCGGTGGCACCCATCACAAACATATCATATGTTTACCCCACCGGTGGCACCCGTCATAAAATATGTTTACCCACCGGTACCCATAAACATATCTTTACCCACCGGTGGCATCCGTCATAAACATGTCTTTACCCCACCGGTGGCACCCGTCACAAACATATGTTTACCCCACCGGTGGCACCGTCATAAATATATGTTTACCCACCGGTGGCATCTGTCATAAACATGTCTTTACCCCACCGGTGGCACCGTCATAAACATGTGTTTACCCCACCGGTGGCACCCGTAAACATGTGTTTACCGGTGGCACCCGTCACCGGTGGCACCCGTCATAAACATGTGTTTACCCCACCAGTGGCACCGTCATAAACATATGTTTACCCCACCGGTGGCACCCGTCATAAACATATGTTTACCCCACCGGTGGCACCCGTCATAAACATATGTTTACCCCACCGGTGGCACCGGTCATAAACATATGTTTACCCCACCGGTGGCACCGTCATAAACATGTGTTTACCCCACCGATGGCACTGTCATAAACATGCGTTTACCCCACCGGTGGCAACCGTCATAAACATATGTTTACCCCAACGGTGGCACCGGTCATAAACATATGTTTACCCCACCGGTGGCACCGTCATAAACACCTTACCGGTGGCACCGTCATAAAATGTCTTTACCCCACCGGTGGCATCCGTCATAAACATGTGTTTACCCCACCGGTGGCACCCGTCACAAACATATGTTTACCCCACCGGTGGCACCGTCATAAATATGTGTTTACCCACCGGTGGCATCCGTCATAAACATGTCTTTACCCCACCGGTGGCACCCGTCATAAACATATGTTTACCCCACCGGTGGCACCCATCATAAACATATGTTTACCCCAACGGTGGCACTGTCATAAACATGTGTTTACCCCACCGGTGGCACCCGTCATAAACATGTGTTTACCCCACCGGTGGCACCCGTCATAAACATGTGTTTACCCCACCGGTGGCAACCGTCATAAACATGTGTTTACCCCACCGGTGGCACCGTCATAAACATATGTTTACCCCAACGGTGGCACCCGTCATAAACATGTGTTTACCCCACCGGTGGCACCCGTCATAAACATGTGTTTACCCCACCGGTGGCACCCGTCATAAACATGTGTTTACCCCACCGGTGGCACCCGTCATAAACATGTGCTAAGCCCAATCAACTGGCACCTGTCATAAACATGTCTTTAAGTATAATCAAAACATACCCTGAAATAATTCGGGAACGTATGGTATAAGTCAAAATAGGAAATTACATCGGACATCATCTTTGTCACTGATGCATCAAATTTGGAAATTTCCTCCACATGTCTACCATAAAACTTCTTGAAAGCTATACTGTGGCCTTGAATATTGTAACCTTTATTAAACAACTTCCAAGTAACAGTGGCATGACGCTCTTTCAAATTCTGATAAATAAGCACACTCGATTTTACCTCAAAAGTTGGGACCCCAAAGGCTGGAGCTGTTGGAATATTGCTCGACATGAAAGTGAAGCTGACTATTGGAAAGTTGAAATCATCCCTTTTGTCATACAGCCTTGTGGAGAGTTTTTTGTCACTCTGAATCTTTATGCATAGATTTAAATATGAAACAGTTGTAGCAGTGTCACGTGTCTCCTCAATTTCATGTTCACGTAGGTAAATCAGTGGAAGCGGATTGGCTATTTGATGATTATTGGACGATATTAGATCAGCGATATACCGGAAGCTTAAGTTAAACTTCTTGGCAAAAATTACCTTGATGTCCAAGATATTTTTATGGATTTAAACAAATCACATGCGTCAAACGCGTGTTCCTACTGACGATGACATCAAAGTAAAGGGACAAAACCCTTGTCATCATTTAAGCGCACGATTAGCACGTGCATGTTTGGCATAATCTTTTCTGAATAGATTATCAAAATACACATTTTTGATTGCAACAACTGTTTAATAGGAATACGACATTAGAACATACTCGCCTAAGACTTATATCAACAAAGCTGACACCTAAAACATAATATTTTTATGGCCTAACACGATTGTATTCAGTGAAATGAAATTGCATCCATCCATAGGGAAAGTGCCACAACCATCAAGAGTTAATCAGTGGTCCGTGCTTGTACAACATGCTAGCTTCACAACACAAGTGATGTGTGTATATTATTAAAGACTTACTCCGTAAAACTTAGCCTCGTTCGCTCTGAAATCGATTTGCACTCCGTGCACGCGATGACATACAGACTGACACAATTAATACAGTGTTTCGTTCAAGACTTGAACAGACATATGTAATTAAAACGACCAAGCCAGTTTCCTTTCAGTACACAAACACAAAGAGACAACAACGTATAGCAATGGATGGATAAGAAAAAGTAATTTGTCTCAGGAGACAATTATATAACATTCAGATTCCATTATCCCGAACCAATTATAAGAGTTATGTGATACAATATTCATCTGAGATCACGGGCTTAGTTATCGTTACATTTTCTTTGAATGTCTCAAGCATTGATCTTCGTTCTCTTTCTTCTCCTTTCAGTCACACGTATGCACTATGCCCGAAGTCCATGTCAGGCTTACTTTGATCCATGCAGGAAGCAAAGGTACTGTCAGTCCCCATGGTCCCTTGTGTGGTAATCGTTCTCCAGTTACTGGCTCTCTATAGCCCATTTTAACACTGAGTTCAGTTTGACTTAACCACTACAAAACATGTCTGTGAAAAGGGCGAAGTGTGATCGAAGCTTAATATGTTTGAGTTGAATGTTTACAAGCAGGTAATGGTGTAGGTTGTCCAAGAATTGTCGTTGACGTGATGTGAAGACAAGGCTTTGTCGGTTAGCAGACAGTTCTCATCTGTCGGCGCTGTTGCACTGTAGCTGAAGTCGATGCATGAATGATGCTGGTGACAAACGATGCCGCAGTCGCCGGCTGTCATTGCCGACGTGGTCAGGAACGGCTCGGACACCTTCTTGTTCCTGGACGGTTTGTAGTATGAGCCTAGAGAAAGGTAATTCTGTTTAATGTGTGAACGATTATTGTTCAACGCTATATCGTCGTCAAAGTCGCATGACGCGCCATCAGCAATGTCCTGACTACCCAATCCATCTATATTGATTCTGGTATGACAAACGGAACGTGGACCAACACAACACCCGAATCTTCTAAAAGATCTGATTATAAAATTATAATACATTTTTATTTAACTCCAAACTCCACATTTATGACTTGGAAAATCTAGAAGACAAATTAGTGATGTACATCATAACCAACGTCCAACAACATCGGGGTATTAAACATGCCTTCACCGCCGCTGGCGCTCAAATCCTTTCAGTGGCCTCTTAGGACCATACCGAGGCCACTCGTACCGGTTTTGCTCATCTCAAAATCTCTCATAAAGAGAGCGGGAGGGCAAACAAAATTTAAACCAATAAAAATATTTTCGTAAATCACTAACTGTCAAAACTATTATTGTATCGCGTATTAATAAAAGTTCATATTAAAATGTAGATCGCGTGAGGACGCCTCGCTTTGTTTCAGAATCAGTTTTTTAATAGATGGATCTAGCTGACCTGTGCAAGGGTAGGTTTATGTATATATCGCATCAAGGCATACATTTCCACAGTGACGGAGAAATTTGAGATAGTATAAGAAAACATTTTATCATTTCACTTCATGACAATTCAGGGGACTGGGACCGGGAGATGGGGAGTACTGTAATACGGACAGCCTAATCCGAGTACAATGATATAATGTATTATCTCACTCTCTCTAACTTAGCTGATGAATATAAAAGAGATTAATAAAAATTAGTACTTTGACTAAATGGTTCACTCACGATATGGTTTTATTGTCCCTTCCCCTTGCACGTCAACATGCCCGATTCCGAAGAGTGAGTTGCTTGTAGCTCGCTGTACAACACGGACAAAGCGGACAGGGAAGGTGGCATTGCAGGTGAAGGTGAACTCTTCCCCGACAGCAAGAGTGTTAGGTACCTCTCCACACCACTTCACTTGAACGTCAGAGCAGAGGCTGACATCCTTGTCCATCACCTCTACGGAGGCATTTTTCATGTAGATAGCTGTAAACAAATAGTCCAGGGTATGTATTAAAAAGATAATGTTTGGTTAGTACTGTTTGGTGAGGTTATTCTTACCTATAGTGAGATACATAAGGAATCTTACCCGTGTGTCTAATATATCACCATATATCGGCCAGCCTCGGATATTTTAACTTTTATCAACGTGTGTTGATATTATTGATATCAGTAGACACGAGGGTGAGATTTTATTTATCATCAAAAATAACTCTTCATTAGTTTTCAATGAAAAATGTACATCTCTGAACACGGTACTGCCAATAAACTTGCACCGCAGTGAGGTCATAGCATTCTGACGTCATCAAGTTCATGGCGTCATAGCATCGTCACGGCATTGTAGAAAATCTACTGTTAAAACGATATCTCCTGTGGAACAGTTTTGGATGATAAAGAGAGAATCTCACCCGAGTGTCTTTTGATACCAAATATATCACCACGAGTTACAAATTTGTACTTTCATCAACGAGTGTTCATATATTTGGTATCAGAAGACACGAAGGTGAGATTCTAGTTGTCATAAAGATCACTCTTCATTAGTTGTCAGTGACAAAGGTACATCTCTATACATGGTACTGCCATTAGACTTGCAGTGCAGCGATGTCATAGCATTGCTGCGTCATCAGGTTTCTGACGTCATGACATTGTGAGTCATGTAATTGATGCCGTCAGGGCATTGTACAAAATCTACTGTCAAATCCATATCTCACAGGAGATATCGTTTGATCTCACACAAGCAATATCTCTTGTGAAACACAGTTTTGGATTATACATAATAACTAAAACAATAATTCTTTACATTTAAAACAGGTATTGTGTTGCGCCATTTGTTTATTTACAAATTATTATTAACAAGAATAAATCCTTAAATGCATGAATGCATGTCATTAAATGCATTCAGTACAGTAGCTGAAGCTTGTTGAATTTGCAATGAAATTGATATAACATTATGCATGGTTATGCACTCTTCAAAAAACCAGAAACGCATAGGTGATTTTGAGAATATTGGACTCATGTAGCTGCAGAAGAAACAATACAAATATACTATTTCTTACCAAAACGTCATCTTTGTGTGATTGTAAACAGCTTTAGCGCCAAACCTCGACAATATACAGTACAACCAGAAATAATTGAGAATTTAAAGATTGTAATTTTTTATATTATTTTCACTCATTACTCACGTATTAATGTGAATATTAGCAGAACATAACTCCAAATTCAAAGACAGATGAACAGTTAGTATTTTGTCAAGTCACCATGGGCAGCAATGCAGGCTTCAATGCGGCGGGGCATACTACTGATCAAAGAAGTTAGAAAGTCGTGGTCCATGCTGTCCCAATCTCGGATCATCTCTTCTTTCATTTCCGCAATATTTGTCCGATTTTTTCTTATTGACATTTCCTTCATAAGTCCCCTCTCAGTGGGCTAGCACTATAAAACCAGCTTAAGTCTGGGCTAGTACAAGCATCCGCACATACACATACACACGCATGCACGTCGTCATATGAGCGAAATATTCTCAAGTACGACGTAAAACCTAATTTCACCTCACCTCATCAGTCCCCAAACATTTTCTATTGGATTTAAGTCAGGGCTATAGCTTGGCCAATCTAATAATGTCACATTTTGGGTCCGAAACCAGGCCTGTGAATGCTTTGAACGACGTTTTGGGTCGTTGTCCTGCTGGAATATCCAAAACTTTCCATAGAAGACGTGAGAAGATGGACGTAAATGTCCCTAGAGAATATCTGTGTACCGCTCACTGTTCAGATTGCCTTCAAATACACAGAGGGGATTGCCCCTAACACAGATATGCCACCCCACACGTTAAATTTCGGACTGTACTTTGGGCGCTGATACAAAGGTTTTTCAGTTTGTTTGGAAACAGCCACACAGAACTTTCATCTGAGAAAATCACAGTGTCCCAGTTAAAATACTAGAAATCCAATTAAACATATTCCTAAAATTCTCAATAATTTCTGGTCATACTATATGTATTATTTTCACGGGATGAAACAAAAGTGAATTGCCGTGAATAACTTACACCAACTGGAGTAGGTGGCTGCAGTGACGGTGATGTTGCTGATGTTGAAGTAGCCTCTGAGGTCCACCTTCCACCAGGACGGGTTGTCGTTATTTGTTAATGATCCAAGGGATGCATGTGCCTTATTTAGAGCACGGCTAGCAACATAGCTGGAATAGGTACTGCTCTGCGTTGCATCTTTCCCATTTGAAATGTTTTCACCTGCAAGGAAAATATGACGAGATATGATAATTAAAAATAATCTTGTATTTGTGTGAATTGTGAGTGAATGGATTGTCTTGTTTCGTAAAATTTCCACCTGTATCACATTAAATTACTGTATATCTTCGGACTGAGCCGTCCCCTGGCTGCTTAGTTTTGACTGTAACAGGGATTCATAAATAAGGAACGTCTGGCGTACTGCAGGCTCCAGAATAGATAGACAGAGGCAGGTACGCCTGCATGGAGTGGTGCAGGCTCCAAGATAGATAGACACAGGCAGGTACGTCTGGCGTGGTGCAGGCTCCAAGATAGATAGACACAGGCAGGAACGTCTGGCGTGGTGCAGGCTCCAAGATAGATAGACACAGGCAGGAACGTCTGTCGTGGTGCAGGCTCCAAGATAGATAGACACGGGCAGAACGTCTGTCGTGGTGCAGGCTCCAAGATAGATAGACACGGGCAGGTACGTCTGGAGTGGTGCAGGCTCGAAGATAGATAGACACAGGCAGGTACGTCTGTCGTGGTGCAGGCTCCAAGATAGATAGACACAGACAGGAACGTCTGTCGTGGTGCAGGCTCCAAGATAGATAGACACGGGCAGGTACGTCTGGAGTGGTGCAGGCTCCAAGATAGATAGACACAGGCAGGTACGTCTGGAGTGGTGCAGGCTCCAAGATAGATAGACACAGGCAGGAACGTCTGTCGTGGTGCAGGCTCCAAGATAGATAGACACAGGCAGGAACGTCTGTCGTGGTACAGGCTCCAAGATAGATAGACACAGACAGGAACGTCTGTCGTGGTGCAGGTTCCAAGATAGATAGACACAGGCAGGAACGTCTGTCGTGGTGCAGGCTCCAAGATAGATAGACACAGGCAGGAACGTCTGTCGTGGTGCAGGTTCCAAGATAGATAGACACAGACAGGTACGTCTGGAGTGGTGCAGGCTCCAAGATAGATAGACACAGGCAGGAACGTCTGGAGTGGTGCAGGCTCCAAGATAGATAGACACAGGCAGGTACGTCTGTCGTGGTGCAGGCTCCAAGATAGATAGACACAGGCAGGTACGTCTGTCGTGGTGCAGGCTCCAAGATAGATAGACACAGGCAGGTACGTCTGTCGTGGTGCAGGCTCCAAGATAGATAGACACAGGCAGGAACGTCTGTCGTGGTGCAGGCTCCAAGATAGATAGACACAGGCAGGCAGGAACGTCTGTCATGGTACAGGCTCCAAGATAGATAGACACAGGCAGGAACGTCTGTCGTGGTGCAGGCTCCAAGATAGATAGACACAGGCAGGAACGTCTGTCGTGGTGCAGGCTCCAAGATAGATAGACACAGGCAGGTACGTCTGTCGTGGTGCAGGCTCCAAGATAGATAGACACAGGCAGGAACGTCTGGAGTGGTGCAGGTTCCAAGATAGATAGACACGGGCAGGTACGTCTGGAGTGGTGCAGGCTCCAAGATAGATAGACACAGGCAGGTACGTCTGGAGTGGTGCAGGCTCCAAGATAGATAGACACAGGAACGTCTGTCGTGGTGCACGTCTGTAGACACAGTGTCTGTGTGGTGCAGGCCAAGATAGATAGACACAGGCAGGAACGTCTGTCGTGGTGCAGGCTCCAAGATAGATAGACACGGGCAGGTACGTCTGGAGTGGTGCAGGCTCCAAGATAGATAGACACAGGCAGGTACGTCTGGAGTGGTGCAGGCTCCAAGATAGATAGACACAGGCAGGTACGTCTGGAGTGGTGCAGGCTCCAAGATAGATAGACACAGGCAGGTACGTCTGTCGTGGTGCAGGCTCCAAGATAGATAGACACAGGCAGGTACGTCTGGAGTGGTGCAGGCTCCAAGATAGATAGACACAGGCAGGAACGTCTGTCGTGGTGCAGGCTCCAAGATAGATAGACACAGGCAGGAACGTCTGTCGTGGTGCAGGCTCCAAGATAGATAGACACAGGCAGGAACGTCTGTCGTGGTGCAGGCTCCAGATAGATAGACACAGGCAGGAACGTCTGTCGTGGTGCAGGCTCCAAGATAGATAGACACAGGCAGGAACGTCTGGAGTGGTGCAGGCTCCAAGATAGATAGACACAGGCAGGTAACGTCTGGAGTGGTGCAGGCTCCAAGATAGATAGACACAGGCAGGAACGTCTGTCGTGGTGCAGGCTCCAAGATAGATAGACACGGGCAGGAACGTCTGTCGTGGTGCAGGCTCCAAGATAGATAGACACAGGCAGGAACGTCTGTCGTGGTGCAGGCTCCAAGATAGATAGACACAGGCAGGAACGTCTGTCGTGGTGCAGGCTCCAAGATAGATAGACACAGGCAGGAACGTCTGTCGTGGTGCAGGCTCCAAGATAGATAGACACAGGCAGGTACGTCTGGAGTGGTGCAGGCTCCAAGATAGATAGACACAGGCAGGAACGTCTGTCGTGGTGCAGGCTCCAAGATAGATAGACACAGGCAGGAACGTCTGTCGTGGTGCAGGCTCCAAGATAGATAGACACAGGCAGGAACGTCTGGAGTGGTGCAGGCTCCAAGATAGATAGACACAGGCAGGTACGTCTGGAGTGGTGCAGGCTCCAAGATAGATAGACACAGGCAGGTACGTCTGTCGTGGTGCAGGCTCCAAGATAGATAGACACAGGCAGGTACGTCTGTCGTGGTGCAGGCTCCAAGATAGATAGACACAGGCAGGAACGTCTGTCGTGGTGCAGGCTCCAAGATAGATAGACACGGGCAGGAACGTCTGGCGTGGTGCAGGCTCCAAGATAGATAGACACAGGCAGGAACGTCTGTCGTGGTGCAGGCTCCAAGATAGATAGACACAGGCAGGAACGTCTGTCGTGGTGCAGGCTCCAAGATAGATAGACACAGGCAGGAACGTCTGTCGTGGTGCAGGCTCCAAGATAGATAGACACACGGGCAGGTACGTCTGGCGTGGTGCAGGCTCCAAGATAGATAGACACAGGCAGGAACGTCTGGCAGGAACGTGGTGCAGGCTCCAAGATAGATAGACACAGGCAGGAACGTCTGTCGTGGTGCAGGCTCCAAGATAGATAGACACAGGCAGGAACGTCTGGCGTGGTGCAGGCTCCAAGATAGATAGACACAGGCAGGTACGTCTGGAGTGGTGCAGGCTCCAAGATAGATAGACACAGGCAGGTACGTCTGGCGTGGTGCAGGCTCCAAGATAGATAGACACAGGCAGGTACGTCTGGCGTGGTGCAGGCTCCAAGATAGATAGACACAGGCAGGAACGTCTGGCGTGGTGCAGGCTCCAAGATAGATAGACACAGGCAGGAACGTCTGGAGTGGTGCAGGCTCCAAGATAGATAGACACAGGCAGGAACGTCTGGCGTGGTGCAGGCTCCAAGATAGATAGACACAGGCAGGTACGTCTGTCGTGGTGCAGGCTCCAAGATAGATAGACACAGGCAGGAACGTCTGTCGTGGTGCAGGCTCCAAGATAGATAGACACAGGCAGGAACGTCTGTCGTGGTGCAGGCTCCAAGATAGATAGACACAGGCAGGAACGTCTGTCGTGGTGCAGGCTCCAAGATAGATAGACACAGGCAGGAACGTCTGTCGTGGTGCAGGCTCCAAGATAGATAGACACAGGCAGGAACGTCTGTCGTGGTGCAGGCTCCAAGATAGATAGACACAGGCAGGTAACGTCTGGAGTGGTGCAGGCTCCAAGATAGATAGACACAGGCAGGTACGTCTGTCGTGGTGCAGGCTCCAAGATAGATAGACACAGGCAGGAACGTCTGTCGTGGTGCAGGCTCCAAGATAGATAGACACAGGCAGGAACGTCTGTCGTGGTGCAGGCTCCAAGATAGATAGACACAGGGCAGGAACGTCTGTCGTGGTGCAGGCTCCAAGATAGATAGACACAGGGCAGGTAACGTCTGTCGTGGTGCAGGCTCCAAGATAGATAGACACAGGCAGGTACGTCTGGAGTGGTGCAGGCTCCAAGATAGATAGACACAGGCAGGTACGTCTGGCGTGGTGCAGGCTCCAAGATAGATAGACACAGGCAGGAACGTCTGTCGTGGTGCAGGCTCCAAGATAGATAGACACAGGCAGGAACGTCTGGAGTGGTGCAGGCTCCAAGATAGATAGACACAGGCAGGAACGTCTGGCGTGGTGCAGGCTCCAAGATAGATAGACACAGGCAGGAACGTCTGGCGTGGTGCAGGCTCCAAGATAGATAGACACAGGCAGGAACGTCTGGCGTGGTGCAGGCTCCAAGATAGATAGACACAGGCAGGTACGTCTGGAGTGGTGCAGGCTCCAAGATAGATAGACACAGGCAGGAACGTCTGTCGTGGTGCAGGCTCCAAGATAGATAGACACAGGCAGGAACGTCTGTCGTGGTGCAGGCTCCAAGATAGATAGACACAGGCAGGAACGTCTGTCGTGGTGCAGGCTCCAAGATAGATAGACACAGGCAGGAACGTCTGTCGTGGTGCAGGCTCCAAGATAGATAGACACAGGCAGGAACGTCTGGCGTGGTGCAGGCTCCAAGATAGATAGACACAGGCAGGTACGTCTGGAGTGGTGCAGGCTCCAAGATAGATAGACACAGGCAGGTACGTCTGTCGTGGTGCAGGCTCAAGATAGATAGACACAGGCAGGAACGTCTGTCGTGGTGCAGGCTCCAAGATAGATAGACACAGGCAGGTACGTCTGTCGTGGTGCAGGCTCCAAGATAGATAGACACAGGCAGGAACGTCTGTCGTGGTGCAGGCTCCAAGATAGATAGACACAGGCAGGAACGTCTGTCGTGGTGCAGGCTCCAAGATAGATAGACACAGGCAGGTACGTCTGTCGTGGTGCAGGCTCCAAGATAGATAGACACAGGCAGGAACGTCTGTCGTGGTGCAGGCTCCAAGATAGATAGACACAGGCAGGTACGTCTGGCGTGGTGCAGGCTCCAAGATAGATAGACACAGGCAGGAACGTCTGTCGTGGTGCAGGCTCCAAGATAGATAG